CATTACATTGGTTTTGTCATGACGCGGCTCATTTATAGGACATCTATAATATAGGATTTAACATCAGGATTTATCATTGAAGTGTTCAAGTCTATAGACCTGTATGATATATATGTATAAATCAATTGAATACGGTATGCCTGAATAAGTTTAGAAATAAATAGGTTCAATTATACAAATACAAAACACTTGAATCACATTACATGCTTACAGGAAAATCGTTAAATCCAATTTGAGAGAATTGATTGGTAACAAATAATGACCCGTGAAACTGAAACTTTAATGTGTTATTTCTGTTAGTATATTATGTAATGTGTGTAGTGCACATATCTTGTATAATGAGTATCAAGATATTGTAAACCTATTGTCTTTCTTGCACTATTGACAATCTCTTTTCAACTTATCATGAGAAACTTTGTTCCACCACAATTTTAGTCTTTAATTCTGTTGATAATTAATATTGTTTTTTTGTGTTGTAAGGTCAGCAGTTTTCTCAAAAGTTGGCCAAAAGTTACTTACAATGAAAATGAGCCATCTTTAAGGTATGGTGATATTTTTGGGCCCACTTTATAATTGATGGTTTAGAAATAATATCCTGAAAGTTTCATGCTTGTATCACCATTTGCAGTATTTTCCTAGTTCCCGCCCCACTATTATTCTTAAGTAATATATCATGAGTTGGTTTAAATCTTGTAACTTACCTTACAGAGGGTGACATTTTAAATTTGTTAGCATAATATTATATTACTAAATAGTGAGTGACCAGAAAATTTTATAGCCTGAAAGGACTTGCATGTCTGAATAATTCAGATTCCTTTCCTCATGTCACTTTCATGAGTAGGGCAAATTATTTTTATCCCCCGCTGAAAGGCGGTGGGGGATATAGAAATAGTCTCCATCCATCCTTCTGTCCGTCCATCCATTCATCCATCCGTCCGTCTTTCCGTCCGATATTTTTGTCCGGAGCATATCTCAAAAAGTGTTTGAGGTATCAACTTAAAACTTCATAGGTGCATAGATCTCATTGAGGAGGAGTGCAGTGCACAAGAATGATAACTCTACCCTGCATAATTTTTGAGTTATTGCCCTATGTTAGTTTTCATACTTAATTTTTCACCCACGTGTAGCATAACTCAAAAGTGTATGAGTTGTCATCATGAAGCAAAAATGATAACTCTTCCCTATATAGTCTTTGAGTTATTGCCCTTTGTTCTTTTTCAGACTATTTTGTTCAGAGCTTATCTGAAAAAGTATTTGAGGTATCAACTTGAAACTTCATAGGTGGATAGATTTTACTGAGGAGGGTGCAGCACTCAAGAATGATAACCTACCCTGCATTATTTTTCAGTTATTGCCCTTTGTTATTTTCAGCCATCAGTATTCACATAAGTTTCAAATCAGTTTTCATTACCAAAAGACCTCTTAAAATTGAATTATTCTGCTCTACTACATATACATTCTTCGAATGAGCAAACACATTCGGCGGGGAATGGCCATGTTGACATGGCTCTTGTACATATTATTTAAAAAGGGGCAAGACAGGAACTACATGGAGAGGTTTTAGCTCAAAAATCCTTTAAGATAGGATGGTGACCCCCAATATTTTTTCTTATATTTTCGTATTATTTGTTTCAATTATGATTCTCATGCAAAGTTCCTGAAAATATCTGTTTACCAGATTTTCCTCCTCTGTCTTTGTAAAAGTTATAGAAACTGTAGGAAATGTCTTTATTAAACATCAAAGTATAATTTTTTAACCATCAAAAAGCTTGGATTTGATCATACTTGTTATATCAACTCATTATGATTATCTGTGTTAACTTTAATTTTATGGTCTGCTTCCACTTTGAAAAACATTATTTTCATCGTCAGTCACTGGTGATTGCTTTTTCCTTTCTTTTGAAATCAGTTTTCTCAAACTTAAATTTTTGTAATACATTTATATAATATTGCATTAAATTTTGTATTACATTTATGTAACATTTCATATCATTATTAATGTATATTTCTGATCCTATTACTTGGTTTATGGGCTAAATTGATTTCCATTAAATGAGCCGTGTCACGACAAAACCAACATAATGGGTTTGCGACCAGCATGGATCCAGACCAGCCTACGGATCCGCGCAGTCTGATCAGGATCCATGCTGTTCGCTTACCAACACTATTACAAGTAGAGAAACTGAAAGCGAACAGCATGGATCCTGATCAGACTGCGCAGATCCATGCTGGTCGCAAACCCATTATGTTGGTTTTGTCGTGTCACGGCTCAAATACAGATCTGTATATTGTGTTTTTTTTCTGTAATATTTCAGCAATAAGTTGGTCTGCATGAGGTAATATCAATACACTTTTTTTACCTTATCAATAACTCTATCATCGATCTTTAGATATGAATCTTACACTTAAAAAACTCTCTGTTTGTATAGAATATATATATATATCTCTCCTTTTAAATTTTATTTACTTACACCCATAGACAATAAAGACACTGCCTGAATTATAAACATAACAAACATGTCCTTAAGATCTTCATAAATATCTTCTTTTCATTGCCCAATTTTCAGTGATTTGATCTCTAAATCCTTTAAGTCAAGTAAAAACAGAATATTTTTTAATATTTTGGACATTCACAGTGTTTGATATTTGCATTTTTGTCTTACAAAGAAATTTTCATCAAGTACATAAATGTATAAAGTTCTGTTTAAAAAAAATGACTTTATATTTTTATATAAAAGTAAATCAGGGTAAAATGTAAATAAGTTTTAATATATTCTAATTATACATTGCTTTGAAATACATGGATGTTTAGCTTTAGTGCTTGCCTGCCAAGTTTGAACATTATTGAAGCCTTTATTTTACAGTTTCATAGCAACTTGGAACTTGTAACAGGATACTTTTCAGTGAAAACAGCCATTTTTCACAAAATGCTCATGAAGTAATGGGTTAAGCTTAAAAATCTTTCATGACATCCCCAAGTCATTCTAACTAGCATACCAATTTATATCTGTATTTATCTTTGAAAATCATGCCTTTACCAATACTAGTATTTCCTGAGCAGGACAGGTATTAATTAATAAATTTTATAACCTCAGTGCTGCATTCATACACCTTTCATTGTAAATAATTAATTTAGTTAATTCACATTGTATTGACTGACATGCTTCCATGTTCCAGAAAGAAATTACCGGTATGGGGTATGGATTTCCAATGCGTTCATTTTAAGACTTTTTTATTATGTTGTCCCGTATAAGGAAATTGATTTGCCATTTATATAGCTTTCTGGTCCACTATAATATGGTTTTTGTTCAGCAAGAAATAATACCTTCTTAGCTGAATGGAATCAAAGAAAAATTTACATTCATTTAAAGGCCCATTATGTCTAAGAAGTGCTTTATTTTCTCAAAAGCTGCTTAATTATTTGTGTCCTGCTTTAGTTTTTTAAAAGTTACTTACTGGCCAATTACCTGTACTATCTTTGCTTCTGTTGCTTTTTGGCATTAAGTACAGTTATAGTGATTATGTGATTTGTCTGGAAGTCAAAATACGACTTTGTTTACATTTGGCTACTTTGGTGACAAATTATTTCACATTCAGCCCTCTGCTGGTGATCAGCATCCAAATGCTTTAAAAAAAAGTTATTTAATCATTATGACACCTATGTCTGCCATTGCTAATGAAGGTGAAAAATGTCCATTTCGGAGGCATTAATGTGCCTTTAACATGCATATTCAAAACATATTTTTGAAAAATAAAAAGTTTTAAGATAAGTTATCAGTTTCTATGAATAGATTTTCAATTTTTCTGTAAATATATGTACAAGAACTTTTACTAATAAATAAATCTTATAAGTTATTTTAAGAAATTTTAGAAGATTCAAAAAAATTAATGTTTTGATTTCAGAATTTTTTCTTTATTCTCTGATTCATTCTTGGTTCCCTATCTTTCTTTCTCTCTCTGGTGTTGTCAGAAATATTTATTTAATCATTGCTGTATATCATATTGGGATATGTCACACTGTATTACAGAAAGCATGATAATGACACTGTGTGTAAGTGCATCTACTTCCTGTGCTCACAAAAAATGATACAAGTTTAATCATATAAACTTGCAATGACAATGCATGTTGTTAGATAGGACTCTGCCACCTGAATTAGACTGCATTTCTATATTGCTTATGTGTGTGTATGTATTTTAATGAAATGAACAATTTTAATTTTGATATTTACATTGTATTTTTATCATTGTAAAATTTGTATCAAGATTGATATTGCCATTCATAACTTAATTGGAAGGGGACTTATTTTAGAAATGGAAAAAAATTAATGGACTTACAATTTTTCGAAACAGAACATTATATATGCATGTAATATTCAAAATATTAAAGATAAAGATATATTGTTGGAATGCCTTTACATGTAGTTCTTTTGATGACTCGTATTAAACAATTACAATGTCTAGGCAGCAATAATTACTTGGCTTATGCTACCAATATTGACTGTATGCTCGTATTCTCATGCTGAAAACCCTTTACCTGCTGAATTTCATAAATGAACTGATCCAGCTTCCATTTTTGGAACTGTTCATTATCAATTTTTGGGATATCAAGATGAAAATTTAAAATTGGTCAGCCTACAGTATTATAATATGAGTGAGACAACGAGACTAAAAAAAGTGATAAATGCTAAAATCTTGCCTTTTCATGCGCCGAAATGCATTTTAAGATGCCTAATTTATCTGTTTACACCGATTCATATATGATAATGAATGAAAAACTTAATATTTCACTTTCTAACCTAGCAGGGTAAAGGCTAAAGTTTTAAATTCAAAACTGCATGGACCAACTCATATACATGTACTAAGCCCAACTCATACTAAGCATGCTGTGTATGATATATATTTTATATTCTCATATTATTTTTCTTCTGCTTTATACATGTAATTAGAGCTACAGATTTATCTGGCTTATATAAAATTATTTCATTTTTTTCTATTTTTAGCATCGGGAAAAATAAAGGAGGAGGCTTTCAACCAGAGAGATGTTTTTAAACAGAAATCGAACAAATATAACTGAAGCATAATTATATCTGATAATACAAACTTTGAAAATAGCAAGACTAAAAGAGAATATCTTCATAAAGTAAAGGCAGCTCAAGGATCAGACAGAGAGAAGAAACTATGCAACATAGACAATCATTTTGTTAAAGCTAATCAAATTATTTTTTTTATATATATTTGCTATTGTTAACACTGTAATTGTATTTTTTGTTATTTGTTTGATTAAACCCCTTAGTCATGACTTATTGTAAAGTTAAGATATTAGAAGTTTTTATAAAAAATAAAACTGCCACATATTGTTAGGTACACCTTTTACTAAAATTATATAAAATTATGGACTTTAAGTTTGAAAGACGTATCAAGATCTAATAATGATATGTATAATGATGAAAACAACTACAGCAATGAATCACAATACCATGTGTAACAATCTTCATTGAAAGAACATGTGCTTGCAATTATATTTAAAACAATTGATTTTGTTCAACACAGTTTTCTTTCCAAGATCTTGTCTATTTTTTTGATGACTTGTTTTTCCATATATTTCCTCTTATAGATTTACAATGAGACTTATAATGTGTACACATGTCACTCATTGGCCATGGATTAATCAAAGAAGAGATTTGGCCATTGATCAATTAATTACATTTAATTAAGAGATCTAATTTCCAATATCAATTCTTAGGTCCTGACTTTTATATTAGCTGGTAATACAACAACAACCACCTGATGCATGATTAATTAATTCAATCTACTAATTATGTATAACAGAATTAGATTCTTTATTTTCCTTAAATATCTAATATCTAATTAACTAATCATGTACATGTAATTATTTTGTTAACACTATATTTAAATAAAGAATAAGCCTGTGAACCAATAACATGCTTATTTCAGCTTATTGGAAGCTACCGACTTTAAGCTGTTTCCAATTGAAAGAGTAATCAAACAGCTGATTTATAAAGTTTTCTTTTCCTTTAACATTTAATAGGGGTGTCAGGCTTATCCATTTAAACGGGTTCTGTCGGTTTTTAACTGAAAACCGGGTAGAGAATCAAATAACCAAAAACTGAGGTTAGTATAAGACCAACAGCTGAAGAAATTTTAGATTGGATTTTAACATTCCCTTTGTTTCTTTATGACAAGATATGACATTTGTTGAATGAATTTTTCTGATTGCATGTTATCTTATTGTTTACAGTAGATCCTAACAGACCACAGTTTCACCATAACCAGATATGTTTTGTAATTGTTGTGGATTATAGCAAAATATAGGGACAAAATGTGCTATTCTTATCAAAGTTAATGTTTAAAATCTAAGAACTATTTTAGTACAGTCGTTAAAACATTTAATACAGTTATTCAGTGGCTGTTTAAATGGTCAGCATTTTTGCTAACCATTACACTCCTAATTTTAAATGACATCTACAGACACCTTAATTGTAGTAATATAACATAATTATATATTGTTTTATGACCCACAAATCAGTATCTCTGGAAGTGTTTTTTTTTATCTCCACTTCTGTACATTGAGACCCTCTTATAGTTTGGTAGTTAATCATTTGGTAAAGTTTATTTCCTAAAATAACTAATAAAAAGTACTCACTTTTGATAAAGAATTATTCAATATTAAAAAATAGGAAACCATTTCAATAGGACAAAAGCCACACAAAAATCATTTTGGCACAGTAAGGCTGGCCTAGACCCAATCTTTGATTATATTAAGATACTCTTTTTTTTTTTATTATTATTAAAAGTTTTTTTTTGGTTGGGTTTTTATTGTGTGTTTATTTATAAAAACTGTTAAAATATTTCATTCAAATACTTGTCTGACTTTACGATTCTTATCAAAGTGGCATGTTAATCAAAAATTCTTTTTTTTGACATTGATATGTCTTATTTTGAAGTTAAATAAAGACAAATAGACAAATAAAGTCATTTGTAACTTGGCAAACTTATCCATTCAAGCATAATAAATTCTTTTTTTCTTTTTTATAATAGTTTACTTAGTTTATCATATTTTACTTTTTATGAAGCATTTCTTGTACTATGTTTTCCCTATTACAACACATTTACAATAAAGCCATTTAAGTTTAAATGTTGAAACATTGCAAATTAATACTGAAATGTCAATGAACAATCATATTTTTCGATATAAGTGAAATTATTGTGCATTCATATTTTGTAAAAAATTATGAACTTTATTGAAGTAAAATTTAATACCATTACCTGGTTACAGTCTATGAAATATTTAATCCTATAGTTGAATTTTCATATCTTTTTTATTATTTTTTTTTGTAATATCAAATTTTTTTGATTGAAGCATTCCTTGCCATATATTTTCAGATATTAATTAACTTTTTTTATAATCATTTAATTAGTACCATAAGGTTAATATGTTAATTAATAGCAATATGAGATTTATTTTACCACAAAACTCCAGACATTTTCATAATGGAAAGAGATCCCAATGATTTTTCTTTATGAAGCATTTATTAAAAAATGTTTGCATTTTATTCTTACAATTATTTTACAATGATTATATGGCATGTATTGAAAACACATTTATATATCAAATATCAATTTTATTTATGATAAACAGCAGGTCTGTAACAATATTTTTTCTTTGTTTTTCAATAAAAAGTAACATCTACAAACTTTCTGTTCTTGTTTTAAGACAGTTTAAAGTTGCTCCAGTTGAGAAATCTCTGCACTGAACATCACTAAATTTTGATGGGACTATAGAATTTACAGTCTTAAATTTTTTTTTACTCTTCAAATTTCAATTGATTTTTTTTTCTTATTTGCCGTGGGTCTAAGAAATAGAAAATCAACAAACAGTAGCCATAATTAGCTCACATTAGTGTAAAATGCTCAGGCTAATAAAATCCAACAATTGTGACAATACTTGTGTATTGGAGAGACATAGTGTATGGACTAGGTCATAATCTCATACCAATTGAAAACTTTGTAAAACTGCAAGAGGTCACAAGTGAGCCAAAGTTCAAATGAAATGAAAACACGAAATGTTTGGTTTTGTTTCTTCATCTTTAGACTAGTATAAAAGTGCCAAATATTTGACGTATATGCTACATTTTTGAAGCTATTTTGAACATTGGTCAAATCTGCTTTCTAAATTTTCAGATAAACAAAACAGTAAAAAAATCATGAAAATGCGAAGTCTTTCGATAAATGACTGATAATAGGTTTGTGGTACAGTGATGAAAAACTAGGTCACTAGTTCAAATTGTCTTCTGTCACATTATTTGAAGCTGTAGATTTTGGACAATTATCCTTCACGTTTTGTTGTTATTCAAGTACATGGTTTTGCTGGCTTGCATCTCTTTCTTGAAGAAAATCTAACTTCCGGGTAGAAAATTTGAATAACATACAAATGTAATAGGGAATAACGTTCCATATGGAATAGTAATTTTACCTATGTTTTATTACGTCTGGAGGTGAATAGACGTGTCTTGATCTATCATGTTATTATAAAAGTATCTTAATCTTGATCTATTACTTGTATTTGACTCGCAAAAAATTAACTGTAACATTAGACATTTGGTATGTGACCACTTTAACATACGTTCTTGTGCTCATTGTCCTACCATAATAGTCCAAACAAGAGGCACCGCCGGGCAGGGGCAACTCTCAACTTTTTTTTCTTTTTCTTAAAGCAAACAAATAAACGATTTAAACAATTCTTTTAAAAAAAAATTAAAGAACATTTTTTTCCTGTTTAGCTCATCTGAGCAAAACATGTGCATGGTGAGCTACTGTGATCCCCCACCATCGTCGTGCATCGTGCGTCGTCAACAATTGCTTTAAACAACATGTCCTCTGAAACCAATGACTGCACAGTAATCAAACTTTACTTGGGTGGTCCTTTGAAAAAATGTTTAAATAGTTCCGGTCTGTTGCATAAGTAGGTCATGGGCCAGAAAAGGAATTTCAAAAAAGCAAACTTAAAAGAACCTTGGCTGAAAGTACAAGGCTTAATGCTTTGGTTTAAACATATTTATTTAAGCTCGATTGTGAAACAAGTTCTTGCAACTTATGTTAATCACTTTCGTGTCCGCTTCCTTGAACCAACCAGTACTGGTGTCATATGAAGAAATATGGTCGTGACCCGAATAGGGCTCGAACCCATAATCTCTGGGTTGAGAGGCAGACACCTTTGCCTTTGCTTTGACACCTTTACTTAATGCTTTGATATTAAATATATGATATCATCTGTAGGTCCTCTACCAAAGTTGTCCCTTATATCAAAAATCCGGGGGTCATAGGTCTTCCTTATAAATAAATAAAACTTTTAAAATCTTCTTGTCTGAGGTACAAAGTTTGTCTGAGGTACAAAGCTTACAGCTTAGACATTTGGTACATAATATCAACTATAGGTCCTCTGCCAAACTTTTTCAAATTATAGCCCTGGAGTCATAAGTAGCCCTGCACCTGGGCGGCCATAGGTTTTTCTTATATGTATTTATAATAAAAACTAAAAATCTTCTCCTCTGAATTGATAAAGGCTAGAGGTTAGATGTTTGGCATGAAACAGTGTGTAGTAGACCTGTACCACATTGTTCAACTTAAAGCCCTTGGGTCAAAATTGGCCTGCCCCAAGGGTCAAAGGTTTTACTTATATGTATATAGTAAAAACTTAAAAAAATATTCTAGTCTGAAGGTATAAGGCTGAATGCGTAGATATATGGCATATAATATCATTTACCATAGTCGTTCAAAGTTTGCCCCTAGTGTCAAAATTTGCCTTTGTGAGCGCTTTGGGGCCAAATAAATAAATGACAAAGTTAAGAAAATGTTATTCAATTATTTAATGGTCAAAGTCATTTAAAGGTCAATGTCATATCTAAATTATTCCTTATTGTCTGGTCACAAAAAGTGTTGTTTTGTCCACATATGAATCAAATCTGTACATAAATAACAAAGATTATGACAACTTAACAATAATTCATTACTTTGACCTTGATGGTCAAGGTCATTGAAAACTCAAGGACAAGGTCAGTTCCAACTTTAAGAATGTATTTTCCAAATATGAAAATAAACCATTGATTAATTATAAAGTTTCATCCAATTATAGCAATAATCAGTGAAAATGAAATAATTGGACCTTCAAGGCCAATGTCATACATGCCTCAAGGTCAATTTGGGTTTGATATACATGGAGGTCATGACCTATAAGATGTTATGTCTTAATGTAAAGTTTATTCATTTATAAATAACAAAGTTATAGCCAGTTACAGGAAAAAACAAGAGAATTTCATTAATTTGACTTTGACAGTCGAGGTCAATTTAGGGTCAAGGTCACGTCTAAATTATTCAATTTGTTTTTTAGCAAGTCTTGTCCATGTTCGAATCAAATCTGTACATTAATAACAAAATTAAGATAATTTAACAAAATTTCAATGATTTGACCTTAAAGGTCAAGGTCAGTTCAATGTCTTGTCCAAAATGTTATTTTGTCAAAGTATGAAGTTTAATCCATTTATTAACAAGCAAGTTATAGTCAATTACAGCAAAAATCAGTGAAAGTTCAATAATTTAATCTTCAAGGTCAATGTCATCAAAGAGCCAATGTCAATTTGAGTTTGATATACATGAAGGTCTTATCCTAACGAATGTTGTATTATAATATGAAGTCAATACATTCAATAATAACAAAGTTATAGCCAGATGAAGCAAAAACAAATTGAAAAATTCAATGATTTGATCTTCAAGGCCAATGTCATTTATGAGTAAAGGTCAAAGTATGTTTAATTAACTTAAATGTCTATCTTAAAAGATTATTATGTTCAAGTTTGGAGACAATCCATGCAAAAATAACAAAGTTATAGCCACTTATTGCAAAAAAGCAAACTTTAGACATTTGACCTGAAAGGTCAATGTTATTTATGAATTAAGGTCAAAGTTAGTCTTTCATGTCCAAAGGGTTGTTGTTGTCAAGTATGAAGACAATACACTAAGAACTTAAAAGCTATGATCAAGGTACAAGTTTGCGGACGGCAGCGCCACATGACTGTTACAATACCTCTACTTTTCTTTTTATTTTATTTATTTTTTCTTTTTGTCAAAAAAATGTCGCCCTAAAATGTTATATCTCTTTGTGCCGTCGATCTGAAGATCCAGGCTCAGATGCAATTGGAAAATCTTGTAATAACCGTATCCGAAGTTTGGCGGAAAAAGCTAAGATAAGATGCGATTGGTTCGGATGGTATTTCCAAGGTAATATGTATTTATACGTACAGGTCTGTGACTTTAGAATAATATGTATGGAAATATTATATATTTTATCGTGTTTCGTCGACAGTTTAATACGGAATGATAAAATAATTCTTCATACTTTACTATCTATGACCAGAGACATATAAAAATAAATGTATTTTAAAGTCTCTGCTATGACGCATTTTCTAAAAAGCTATTTATAGTTATGAAGGCGGGAAATCCATTGGAAAGTCGTCTGCTATAGGTTCCTGTATATTGGAAAACCATGCTAGCTACCGTCTGCTGGTTGGTAAATAATGCGGAATGTCAATTATTGTGCCAATTACATAACAGTGTTTTTATTACAGTGCTGGGGTGTATCACGCTCGTCCCCACTATCTTACTGTAAAACAGGGTCTTTCAAACAGTTCTATATTTGAAAGACCCTGTGTAAAACGATGCGCATAATTATCATAATATATAATTATACGGTAAATTTAGAATATTAAACAAGTTTTAGTACAT